TTGCGAGCTGGCAAGCAGGAACAAAGTCAAGCCAGCCAGTATGCAATTGCCACACGCACACGCGCACACACACACACACACTTGCTCTGCGCAAGTGCTCTGCGCCAGTTGCTCCGCGCAAGCGCTTTGCGCATGTGCTTTGTGCAAGTTGGTCTGTGCAAGTTGCTCTGCGCCAGTTGCTTCGTGCAAGCGCTTTGCGCATGTGCTCTGTGCAAGTTGCTCTGCGCAAGTGCTCTGAGCAAGTTGCTCTGTGCAAGTTGCTCTGCGCCAGTTGCTTCGTGCAAGCGCTTTGCGCATGTGCTCTGTGCAAGTTGCTCTGCGCAAGTGCTCTGAGCAAGTTGCTCTGCGCAAGTGCTCTGCGCCAGTTGCTCCGTGCAAGCGCTTTGCGCATGTGCTCTGTGCAAGTTGGTCTGTGCAAGTTGCTCTGCGCAAGTGCTTTGTGCAATTGCTCTGTGCAAGTTGCTCTGCGCAAGTTGCTCTGCGCAAGTGACTCTGCGCAAGTTGCTCTGCGCAAGTGCTGCCGGAGCTGTGGGAATGTACTTCGCGTACTATTTTTGTACTTAAAAGTTGCGATTTTCCAGCCGGAGCTGCGGGGGTGTGCTCCGCGTACTACGTTTGTACTTAAAAGTTGCGATTTTCCAGCCTGAGCTGCGGGAGCACGCTCCGCATACGATTTTCCAGCCGGAGCTGCAGGAGTACGCTCCGCGTACTACGTTGTACTTAAAAGTTGCGATTTTCAAGCCGGAGCTGCGGGGGTGTGCTCCGCGTACTACGTTTGCACTTAAAAGTTGCGATTTTCCAGCCTGAGCTGCGGGAGCACGCTCCGCACACTACGTCTGTACTTAAAAGTTACGATTTTCCAGCCGGAGCTGCAGGAGCACGCTCCGCGTACTACGTTTGTACTTAAAAGCTGCGATTTTCAAGCCGGAGCTGCCGCGGACCAGGGGGGAATCGAACCCGCGACCGCGGGATTGCGAAAGCAGGCGCGCAAACCACGAGACAACTTCCAAAGGCCGTTTCGCGAGCAAGAAAAATGCACGGCGCCACAGCGAGAGCGCTTCGACACGCACAATCTCCGCAGAGGGTTCGCCGAGACTAAGACAAATTCGCACGGCGCCACAGCGAGAGCGCTTCGACACGCACGATCCCCGCAGAGGATCAGCGCGGCTCGCAGAAATCGTAAAAAGTCCACAGTTTTTGAACCTCGACCACGCGAATCTCCGCAGAGGGCCGCGCGCGCACCGCAGAAATCATAGCAAGTCCTCAGTTTTTGAACCTCGACCATGCGAATCTCCGCAGAGGGTCGCGCGCGCGTGCTAAAAATCGTAAAAAGTCCACAGTTTTTGAACCTCGACCACGCGAATCTCCGCAGAGGGTCACGCGCGCACCCGCAGAAGTCGTAAAAAGTCCGCAGTTTTTGAACCTCGACCACGCGAATCTCCGCAGAGGGTCGCGCGCGCACCGCAGAAATCGTAAAAAGTCCGCACTTTTTTGACCTCGACCACGCGAATCTCCGCAGAGGGTCGCAATCCCGAGCGACGATCAAACTCCCGCCCCGGCGCCTTAGAAACCTAAACTAACTTGCATAGCTGCTTACGCCGAAGCTCTACGCAAGCTTTACCTAACCTTGGCTCTGTGCCACCTGGCTCTGTGTCACTTGGCTCTGTGCCACTTGGCTCTATGCAACTTGGCTCTATGTATCTTGGCTCCTTGTAACTTAGCTCTATGTAACTTGGCTCTATGTAACTTGGCTCTATGTAACTTGGCTCTATGTAACTTGGCTCTATGTAACTTGGCTCTATGTAACTTGGCTCTGTAACTTGGCTCTATGTAACTTGGCTCTATGTAACTTGGCTCTATGTAACTTGGCTCTATGTAACTTGGCTCTATGTAACTTGGCTCTATGTAACTTGGCTCTATGTAACTTGGCTCTATGGCTCTATGTACTTGGCTCTATGTAACTTGGCTCTATGTAACTTGGCTCTATGTAACTTGGCTCTATGTAACTTGGCTCTATGTAACTTGGCTCTATGTAACTTGGCTCTATGTAACTTGGCTCTAAGTAACTTGGCTCTATGTAACTTGGCTCTATGTAACTTGGCTCTATGTAACTTGGCTCTATGTAACTTGGCTCTATGTAACTTGACTCTATATAACTTGGCTCTGTGTAACTTGTCCAAGGGCTCCGCACGGAAGAACCCTTCGCGATGCTTTCGGGAAAACAAGCCAATAGCAACCGGCCCCTGCCCGAGTCAGACACAAAAATCGCTATGTCGTGAAAGCGTATGTTTCTGCAAAGCAGGCTCGTGTAACTTAGCTCTGCGCAAGATGGCTCTGCGCAACTTGGCGCGCTGCTACCTGGCGCGCGCCAGCTACTTTACGCGAGTGGCTCTGCGCAACTTGGCTCTGTGAAGCGTGGCTCTGTGCAAGTCTGCTCAGCGCAATGTGCTTTGCTCAAGTTGCGCTGCACGATTTCTCACGAAAGTGGTCTGCGCAAGCTGCATTGTTCCAGGCTGCTGCGCGCAAGTTGCTCTCTGCACGCTGCTGCACGCAAGTGCTCTGTGCAGGTTGCTCTGCGCAAGTGCTTTGTGCAAGTGCTCTGTGCAATTCGCAGAGCGCAAGCTGCTCTGCGCAAGTGACTCTGCGCAATTTTCCAGCCGGAGCTGCGGGAGTGTGCTCCGCGTACTGCGTTGTACTTAAAAGTTGCGATTTTCCAACCGGAGCTGCGGGAGCACGCTCCGCATACTACTTCTGTACTTAAAAGTTGCGATTTTCCAGCCGGAGCTGCAGGAGCACGTTCCGCGTACTACGTCTGTACTTAAAAGCTGCGATTTTCAAGCCGGAGCTGCCGCGGACCAGGGGGGAATCGAGCCCGCGACCGCGGGATTCCAGGCGCGCGAGCCACGAGACAACTTCCAAAGGCCATTTCGAGCAACAAATTCGCACGGCGCCACAGCGAGAGCGCTTCGACACGCACGATCCCCGCAGAGGTTCGCGCGCGGCTCGCAGAAATCGTGACAAGCCCTCAGTTTTTTGACCTCGACCACGCAAATCTCCGCAGAGGGCCGCGCGCGGCTTGCAGAAATCGTAAACAGTCCACAGTTTTTGAACCTTGACCATGCGAATCTCCGCCGAGGGTCGCGCGCGCACCGCAGAAATCGTAAAAAGTCCACAGTTTTTGAATCTTTGAACCTCGACCACGCGAACCGCAGAAATCGTAAAAAGTGAACATTGTTTTATCCTTGACCGCGCGAATCTCCGCAGAGGGTCGCGCGCGCACCGCAGAAGTCGTAAAAAGCCCGCAGTTTTTGAACCTCGACCACGCGAATCTCCGCAGAGGGAGGGTCCGCGCGCACCGCAGAAATCGTAAAAAGTCCGCAGTTTTTGAACCTCGACCACGCGAATCTCCGCAGAGGGTCGCGCGCGCACCGCAGAAATCGTAAAAAAGTCCACAGTTTTTGAACCTCGACCACGCGAATCTCCGAAGAGGGTCGCGCGCGCACCGCAGAAATCGTAAAAAGTCCACAGTTTTTTGACCTCGCCACGCGAATCTCCGCAGAGGGTCGCAATCACGAGCGACGATCAATCTCCTGCCCCGGCGCCTTAGAAACCTTAACTAACTTACATAGCTGCTAACGCCGAAGCTCTACGCAAGCTGCCCTAACCTTGGCTCTGTGCCACCTGGCTCTGTGCAACTTGGCTCTGTGCAACTTGGCTCTATGTAACTTGGCTCTATGTAACTTGGCTCTATGTAACTTAGCTCTATGTAACTTGGCTCTATGTAACTTGGCTCTATGTAACTTGGCTCTATGTAACTCTATGTAACTTGGCTCTATGTAACTTGGCTCTATGTAACTTGGCTCTATGTAAACTTGGCTCTATGTAACTTGGCTCTATGTAACTTGGCTCTATGTAACTTGGCTCTATGTAACTTGGCTCTATGTAACTTGGCTCTATGTAACTTGCTCTATGTAACTTGGCTCTATGTAACTTGGCTCTATGTAACTTGCTCTATGTAACTTGGCTCTATGTAACTTGGCTCTATGTAACTTGGCTCTATGTAACTTGGCTCTATGTAACTTGGCTCTATGTAACTTGGCTCTATGTAACTTGGCTCTATGTAACTTGGCTCTATGTAACTTGGCTCTATGTAACTTGGCTCTATGTAACTTGGCTCTATGTAACTTGGCTCTATGTAACTTGGCTCTATGTAACTTGTAACTTGGCTCTATGTAACTTGGCTCTATGTAACTTGGCTCTATGTAACTTGGCTCTATGTAACTTGGCTCTATGTAACTTGGCTCTATGTAACTTGGCTCTATGTAACTTGGCTCTATGTAACTTGGCTCTATGTAACTTGGCTCTATGTAACTTGGCTCTATGTAACTTGGCTCTATGTAACTTGGCTCTATGTAACTTGGCTCTATGTAACTTGGCTCTATGTATCTTGGCTCTATGTAACTTGGCTCTATGTAACTTGGCTCTATGTAACTTGACTCTATATAACTTGGCTCTGTGTGACTTGTCCAAGGGCTCCGCACGGAAGAACCCTTCGCGATGCTTTCGGGAATATATTATGTGTTCGTTGTTTGGTTGCTTGGTTGCTTGGTTGCTTGGTTGCTTGGTTGCTTTGTTGCTTGGTTGCTTGGTTGCTTGGTTGCTTGGTTGGTTGGGGGATTTCTTGCTTGTTTGTTTGGTTGGTTGGTTGTTTGCGTTTCTATGTAACTTGGCTCTATGTAACTTGACTCTATATAACTTGGCTCTGTGTGACTTGTCCAAGGGCTCCGCACGGAAGAACCCTTCGCGATGCTTTCGGGAATATATTATGTGTTCGTTGTTTGGTTGCTTGGTTGCTTGGTTGCTTGGTTGCTTGGTTGCTTTGTTGCTTGGTTGCTTGGTTGCTTGGTTGCTTGGTTGGTTGGGGGATTTCTTGCTTGTTTGTTTGGTTGGTTGGTTGTTTGCGTTTCTCTGCAACAATTCCACGCCACGGACGGCCTCAGGAACGAAGAAGATAGTGGGCCAGGCGGGACCACCGTTTCGTTTGATTAGAGGCCGCCACAATTGCATCGCCGGACCAAATGTAGCGCGACGACTGAACTTGCAAGGTGGCCAAAGCCTTCTGAGCCAATTCATGCCCGGCGTGGTGGTCTTCGGGGCCGACTACTGCGGCCCTTGCAAGGCCAGGCCCTGGGCAAACCTGATTGGCAATGCGTTACTCGGGCTGGGCTTCTTGATGCATGAAGGCAGACGGTAAGAGAAGCGATTCGACCTGGCCAGAGGTGAGCCGGGGGCGGAATGCCGGACCCGTTGCGCAGGCTCTGTGCCGGCGCCTCCGCAGTTTGGGCCTGGAGGAGGGCAGCGCATGGCACTACGTGGACTCGGAGGACTTCAGCGCGGGCGGCGGAGCGGCGCCCCGGCGAATGGGATCTGGCGAAATCTGGGTGCACTGGGTGCACTGGGTGCAAGGAGACCCTGTTAAACTTTTGCTGTCCCAGGACATGTTCAACTCCTTGCTGGGAGCCGCGCCCTTCGCGCCCTTGCCCTTGCTGGCAGTGCTGGGCACTGCGGGCCCCATTGAGCTGGAAGCTGGAAAGGCGGGAGACATGGGGGAGAAAAGGGGGGAGAAAACGTGAGGCAGAGGTACAAGACCCGCGTCAGTGCGCATCTCCCGACCTTGGACTTGCACAGCGTCACAGGTTTGATACTTGATCGTTTGGATGTCGTTGGGCTTTGTTCCGATGGAGCAGCGATGAGGAGCTGCTGGGCCTCAGTGACGAGGAGTTGAGGTTGCTTGTGAAAAAGTGTTGTGATAGTCTGCAGAATGCATGGAACACATCCACCTGTTTGGCCGTGCACGCAGCTCTGTCTGTGGGAACCTGTTGGATGGCTCAATCAAAGAACCTGGGCCTGGCACAGCACAGCAGCATGATCAAGTCGCAACACACTGCTACCCACCTACTCAACTTCTCCCACGTATCCCAGTGACTAATTCATTCCAAAGAGTAGTAATGGTAAGCAGTGGGCTGGGGGTGTGGCTGGCACCACGGATGCAATCAGCGTCTACTCGCCCATGGCACATGAATCATACAGCGAGACGGAGAGAGAGAGAGAGAGAGAGAGAGAGAGAGAGAGAGAGAGAGAGAGAGAGAGAGAGAGAGAGCATGCACGCACTGAAAGTCAGCACTGGCTATGACTGAAGCAGGGTGTTTACCCAAGGCCCGAGAATGACGGGCGGTGTGGTTTTCATTCAGCCTCCTTTGGTGCAGCGGCTTGGCTGCACATGGCTGCACCTTCGGGAGGTGAGTTCTTTCGGCCAAAGCCGCCCCAGGCGCATCTACTGGGTGAAGACTGCGGCCGCTGTGCCGTGCCTCGACTGCAGAACGCCCGGGCTGGTCAGCCGAGCTGTTCATTGAGCTGCTTCCCCTCGGCTGACCACTCATCGGGCCTTCTAAAGGAGGACGTCATCCCTTCCAGGCGATTTTTGACACGCAAATGAATGCGGCAACTTAACTTCGCAGGCGGCTGCCCATTAATTTTCAAAATTGCCCGAGTGGGGAAGAGCAAGGATCCAAGCTCCCCATTTGAGTGGGCTTGAGGGTTTGAGGTGGAAAGAAGCCCTGCCTGGTTCAGAGTTTGGACTTGGTTTCTAGAAAGTTTGCCTGTCTAGATTGGCAATTGAGCACATGCAAGGCAGATGCTCTGGCAGATCACGCATGTGTTTTTAACACCCCGTCAAATGCATCTGCATTTGGATCCGCGGGAGCAAAATGATCAAGCGATTCCGTGACTTGTAGGTCCTGGAGGGCCCTACCAGACAACCAGCGCAAGACCTTGCCCATGCCATTCCTTTCATCCTTTCACACCCTGTCACACCCTTTCACTTGAGACCCGTTTGGGAGAGCACCAAAGGCGCCTGTGCGAGGTCAGCATCACTGAGCCCACACTCCCCACACCGAGCTGTCCATGGCGAGGTGGTGCACCTTTCGCAGGGCAGGGCTCGGGGCCAAGTGCTCTTGAGGGCATGGGTAGATTGCAAAGTGCAAAAGACACTTTTCACTGGAGTGATTGGAGTGATGGAGCACTGAAGTCACTTAAGTCAGACTTAAGTCACTTTTCGTCGCAGTCACTTCAACCCGAGGCACCTCCCTGCACAAGGCGGTTCTCGCAGCCGAGCGTCTCAGCGCCCCCAGGGCCTGTCCGCCAGGCGATGTGCGTTTGAGCACTTGGCAGGTGAAAAAGAGATGCGAAGCGCGAGACCAAGTTGTAAATCGCGCGCTTCAGGTGTCTGCTCCGGCCTTTGTCAAATATGCGCCGCATCCTTTTCCAAGCACTCCTCGCTTTGGCCTGAGTCGGGACGGGGCATTTGAGACCCTGACGTGAGGGTTCCAAAGGGACGATCTCGATCCAAGGCCTGGACTTCCGGGAACCCCAGCGTGCACCGGTGAAGGTGGTTGCGGACAGTCCCAGGAACACAGTGCCTTGGTCGCGATGGGGCTCGCACTCACTTGCGATCATTTGCACCTCGCTGAGATCGTTTCCCCGGCTTTGCCTGGAGCTGCGCAGCCAGAGAACCGGGTGCCGGTGAAGATCCGAGGCTTGTTGCAAAAGGGATGCCATAGATGCACCGCATTGATCGCTTCCTTCTGATGGGAGTTGGGCCAAGGAGTGGTTGCCAGCCAGATCAGGCAGAAAGAGGCGTGTCATAAAGAGGCGTGTCTTGGTTGCAGAGGCCTGCAGTACAATTTCCAGTGGGGGGGAGTTTGGGGGGAGGGTAGGGGAGAGAGCCTTGACCAATGGTTGCCAAGGCCTTGCCAAGAGAACCGACCATCAGGCGCTTTGCGAGGGCTCAATGGAATGGAGGACAGGGACGCGGATTCTGCAGGAAGCGGAGTCGGAGTGGGAGCGCCCGTCGATCCTCTGTCTGTGGCGGCGCCTTTGCGCAAAGGCACGCCCCGCGAGACCCGCTGGCTCTGGACCCACCGAACCGTCCGGTCGACTCAACGGGTCGGCTTGTAGGTTTGAACCGAGGCTGTGAGTTGGGAGCCGTTCTGTGAGGCTTGGGACTTCGAAAGGAAAGGGCAGGACAGAAACGACAGGACCTCATGCAGATCAGGCCTCAATCTTCTCAAATGTCTGTGTGGCATGTTCTTTCGCGCTGCACCGTGGATTGTGCAAGAGCTCCGCTTCTGATCGGCCATAAGCTCTTCTCTGACTTTAGTACAGGTAGCAGGTAGCAAGCTTGAGTGGAGTCAACGCACCTACACACGTCATTTGTTTGCTTGTGTGTGTGCGCGCTTTGTTTTTCTTCTCCGTCTCAGAAGGCCTTTGTATGTGCGTGTGCTTGCTGTTTCCGGGGCAGCCCAGGGCCAAAAGAGCACGCGTCATTGATTCCCAACATACTTACTAGGGGGGGGGGGGGCTTTCCGAAATGCCAGGAGCCAAAGGAAGAGGCAGAAGAGAAGGAGAAAAGACCACGCGCAGAGGCGTGGCTTTGCAAACATGTTTCTCTAAGCCGGCAGCCCAGGCGGATCGTCGGCATCTACGCCAGAGGAGTGCTGATTTGCAGCGCCGCCATACTCAGTGCCTCGGCGTGGAAGCACGTTGGGCTGTCCAGTTGGTGTTGCTCGACTTCATCTTCTCTTTTTCTAAACAGAACTGCGCCAAGAAGTTTTCTGGAGGAGTTGTCTCGAGGAGTTTTCTCAAGAAACTTTCTCAAGCAGTTTTCTCCAGACTTGCACCACTTCCAGTTAAGTGAGTTTTTTGCGACGTGCGCCCGACTGATTTTGTTTTTTTCCCCTGAGGCGGGAGAGCCTCGCCGAGGACCTGCGCCGCTTGGCGGAGGAGAAGCGCCGGGCGCGGCAAGTGGAAGCTGAGGAGGTGGGCCGAGCCGGGTCCGGACACAGCCACCGGATCGCCGCTGGCATTTGGGGATTGGTTCTTAAGCTGTCCGCTTTTTTTTTGTTTTTTATATAGAGGGAAGGCAAAAACAAACAAAAAAGGCCCTTGTTGTGGGGTCCCATCTCATGTCTCGCCTCGGAACCGTTTGCTCGTGCAGGTGGAGCGGAAGCGCGCCGAGGCGCAAAGATCCCGGCAGGAGGCGGCCTTCCGGCGCCTGCAGGGCGGCTCGGCTCGGTTTTGGAACCGCTGAAGAACTCTATATTTTGAAGAGCCAGTTTCCGAGCGGAAGTTCTAAGGAAAGCTGCTGATGGTCGAGGAGAAGCACCGCTTGGCTGAGGACAGCTTTGGGTCCCGGCGTCAAGCGAAGGCAAGGATGTGGGCAACATATGGCAGCATGATCCACTGCAAATGGAACAGCAGGAGGCAAGGAGAGTCTCTGAAGAAGGTCGCAGACGGCGGTTCAGCGAAACAGGCCTCGCTTTGGTCGGCCGTTTGAGTTGGAGCAGTTTGAGCAGTTTGAGCAACGCGAAGCTCCGCAGGCAAAAGTAGTCCTCGACAAGGCCTGACAGGCTGGGGGCTGTTGCCTGGGATGCGCTTTGGATCGCAGGCCGCCGGAGCGAGGTGGACGCCAGGACCGCCGACCATTCACCTCAGCTCCCTGCATCTAACAGCCTGACACTATGCGCTGGAGGAGGAGAGCAATATTGCTACGTGGCCTTGCCCACGGGCGTGCAAAGAGTGTGGGAATCCCAAGCGCTGAGGCAGCGATAAGCTGCCCCCTTCCCAATGCACCGAGGCCGATGCAGCGCAGGAAGTAGAGGCACGCCTTTTTCTTTCTCCCACGGTTCGCCCACTTTCCTCGTGGTTTCAAATGTGCGGAAGCCAGGCCGAGCGCAGGAAAGCTGAACAAGAAAGGCAGCGCTTGGAGCAAGAGGAGGCGGAAGACATGTGTTGTTCGGATCAAGAAGCATTCTGCCAGTCGGATTTGCAGCCAGCGGCGCTTTGCCAATGTCAGTTGAGCATTGTTGAAGGCTTGCGCCTCAAAAAGCATCCGGCATTCATCTTGGCTTCAGGTTAATTTGCTGCGCTCTTAAACCAATGGGACGGCACTACTAGATGGCCGCTGGTTGCCGCCTGCCACGAACCATCAAGGAGAAGCAGGCAGAAAGGAGAAAAGCATGCCACGCTGTCCCTTTGGTCGAGCGACGACCAACCAGGCGGCTGGACATGGGTGCCAACCAACAGAAAGCTTAAAGGAATTACAAAGTGCTCTCACAAAGCCCCCACCTGCCGACCGGCACAAGGAGAGTTCAGTGGAGGACATGCCGCCTCTGCATGCCGCTGCTGGTCGTGCTCCGGCAACTGAAGAGAGCTCAGAGGAGGAGGACATGCCGCCTCTGCATGACGCTGCTGGCCATCCCCCGGCCACTGGCAGCAAAGGGGCGGCGCAAGCGCAAGAGCCCGGCGGCCAGCATGAAGAGAGCTCAGAGGAGGAGGACATGCCGCCTCTGCATGCTGCTGCTGGCCATCCCCCGGCCACTGGCAGCAAAGGGGCGGCCCAAGCGCAAGAGCACGGCGGCCAGCATGAAGAGAGCTCAGAGGAGGAGGACATGCCGCCTCTGCATGCCGCTGCTGGCCATCCCCCGGCCACTGGCAGCAAAGGGGCGGCGCAAGCGCAAGAGCCCGGCGGCCAGCATGAAGAGAGCTCAGAGGAGGAGGACATGCCGCCTCTGCATGCCGCTGCCCATCCCCCGGCCACTGGCAGCAAAGGGGCGGCCCAAGCGCAAGAGCACGGCGGCCAGCATGAAGAGAGCTCAGAGGAGGAGGACATGCCGCCTCTGCATGCCGCTGCTGGCCATCCCCCGGCCACTGGCAGCAAAGGGGCGGC